GTTGGTACTGCCTAATTAGGAGGTGTAGGGATGTTGGTGCTGCCCTAGCCTAAAGGACTTACATGTGCAATCTTTTCCATAACCGTAACCTTTTGTAACAACCGCTTGTTACGCATAGTGCCTATGCTCCATGATTGGGTCTCCTTCCGGGAATTCCTACTTCGGTCATGTACTGCACTTGGACTTAACCACAGGGCTTTGCATTCAATTACTAGCTCCTTATTGGGTTACAGAGGCTAAAATCTTTTTAATTTTGTCTCCAGCTGGACTTGAACTGTTGATCTTGACTGTGGGGGCATGGGAGCTTAACTGCTAAGCTATGGGACCCACACCCAATAATTTCTATTTCTAACTCTTCTATTGTTCTAATTCTTTTGAGTTCTTGTTTTTCAGTTTCTAGTTTTTTTATCTTTACTGTTTCTGTTATTTGATCTATTGCTATATTAATTCTATTACTGTTTTTTTTTATTTACATGTCTAGAACTATATTAATTTTGCTATTTATTCTGATTTACTGTTGGTAGCTATCTTCTGTTTGCTCTTCTGCTCTTGTACAGTTCTTGCATCTTTCTATTTCAATAGCTAATTCATCTTCTCTATTTTGCATTTGCCAGTATTCTACTAGTATTTTTTTTTTCTTCTTTTTAATTATTTTCTCCAATTACTTATGGTTTTGCATACTATAAACTATTCATTCTTTTCTTCTCTTGTCCTCTGATATATTCTTCTATTTAACTTGCATTGCCTGTATATTTTGCCTATTTGTCCTAAAGCATCTTTAACCTCTTTACTTTTTGGTTTACTAAATAACTTTTGTTCTATTATCTTGAACTAATCTGCTTTTTTCTCTTGCTTGACAGGTCTTGGTAATTTTTTAACTATTACATGTAACTAATCATTTTTTTTTTGTATTAAGCAGCTGGTTTAGATATACTAAATCTTTTTTATTTATTCTAGTTTCACTTCTCTTCTATAATCAGTATCCACAAGTTTATTTATTTTAATATTATACCTAAACATTGTCTATAAATTGTCTTTTTTTCTTATATTTATTTTTAATTTTCTTGCTTTTAATATTGTCAAGCAAATCAAATTATTTCTTCAACCATCTGTGTTTTCTGATATCTTCACTACTTTTTATATATTTTTTGTTAGGCCTGTCCTTGGCAGCCTTGTGTTATTCTTAGTTTTGTTAGCTGCCTAAGTCTATTTTATCTGTTTAATCTTGTTACTAGCCTATCTACTTGTTTCATTACTATCTCTTGTCATAATGTTTTACAGCTTTCAAGATCTTTGTATTCTATTATGCAGTTCTTCAATATTCTTTGCAGATTACTTTCTGTTTTATCAGACTTATTATTGGTTGATGTATTTCATTTAAACTTCTTTTTGACATCTTTGTTAGTTGTAATATATAACTTAATTTTGGTATTATAAGCATATTGTTTATGTATGCAATTTGGCTCGTTGTTATTTTTTTGTATCTAAGATCTTTTATTGTTTCACTTATTATTTCTTTTACCTTTTTCTTTACCAGGATTTCATGTATTCTATTGTTTAGCCATACTTCTAATAATTATATTATTTTATTTTTTTATTCTTCTATTATTTTGCTTTTTCTAAATATTACCTCTCTTTTTTCCTTTTTCAATTTTGTGTTCATTATTAGCAGCTTTGACTTCACTTCATTTATCTCTATATTATTTATTATAAAAAACTTTTTTGCTATTTCTAAGATCTTTATCAACTGCTATCTACTTCTTTTTATATCTTGTAAAAGTATTTATATTTCTTTATTCTTTTCTCTTACTTCTTCCATTATTATGTTTAGGATATATACTGGTTGTTATCTGGAAGGCTTGCATAATTTGGTCCTTTGAGTATTTTTTTTTTCATAAATATCTTGGCAAGCCTTTTTGTTACCACTTTTGTTATAACCTTTCTAAATATTTTTATTAGTACTATTAGCTGAATATTGTTTAAGCTATATCTCTATTTAATATCTTTTAGTATTAGGTAGATTTGTGCTATTTTTTATTTGATTGGTATCTCTTCTACTTTTAAATAAAAATCTGTAAAACTTCTGAATACTTCTTGTGTTTTTCTTCCTGCTCACTTTATCAGAATATAACTTATTTTTGATATATCTGAAGCTGTTTTTGCATTTAGTTTTTTTAGTACTTCTTTTTATTCTTTCTCTTTAAGTTCTTGTTTAACTTCTGTATACTATTCTTCTTTTATAATCTTTTATGATCTATATATTTTCTAACATCTCTTTTAGTTTGGTGTTTTTTTTTTTAAACTGCTTCTTGTAATGTTTTGTTACTTCTTTTCTAACTTCATCTGGTTTTGTTAACAAACTTGTTTCTTTTTCAACTTGCTTAATAAATCTGTCAAGTACTATCTTCTTGTATGGCCTATTTAATAAACTTGCTATCATTTTTCTTTAGTTAGTCTTGATCATTTCATATCTTTTATCTATGTTTTTATTTTTTATTATTTACTTTTATACTTTTGTTTTATTTTTATATATAGTTTTTTTTTTATTTTTTGTCTTTTTACTAAAAGATGTTATCAGATTGATGATATTTTATTGTAAGATAACAGTCAGATAAACAGTCTATTTCTAATTAGAATAATGCAACAAGTTGCATTTAGGTGACTAAATAATGCTAAACTTGTATACAGTCATCCTCCCATATAATCACACAGTTGGGCACATAATAATTTTTTAAAAAAATGTGCTTATAAAGAAGTTGTGCTTATATGGAGGGCTATTTCTTATAAATTAAATCGTAGCTTAGCCCAAATGTAAATGTGATTACATGTGATGTGATTATATGGGAGGTGACTATATGGAGGGACAACTGTATTAAAAAATTTTCTGTAATTATATATAGTTTCAAGAATCTTAATAAAGTACTAACATAACTGCTAAAGGTAAAAAATATATATATATAATATAATAATACAATAATAAAAATATATAACTAATACTAATAATATAATAAAATACATTATGCTATACTAATAACTTATTTTGTAATAATAGAATATATATATAAAACTCTACCAAGTTTTATATTATAAATAAATTAGTTCTAAGAACATTAAGTTTTTTTTTAAAATAATAGAGCTAATATTATTATATTTTATTAAGATTCTTAAAATTGCTTTTGCAACTATATGGAAATATCTAATATTTAAATCTAACACGATCACTTTAATAATATCTAAATGCAACCTGTTAGATTAACTATATGCAGGATATGAAAAATTTTAAGTTATAAATAAATTAGTCCAAGTTTCTGTAATTTGTATACGTATAATATAATGTAATATGCATGTGTCTCTACATAATATATATATAATACTAAATAAAAAAAAACGAATAAAGAAACAAAATCTTTAGTAAATTAGAAATCCAAAGTAAAACAAATAATCACTAAGATAGATCACACCTGGATTAACAAATCGAGTGAGCTTTTATTAGTCTAGATATATATATATATACTCATGTTAAATGTAATATAGCATAATCTTAATAAATAAAAGCAAGACTGCTTGCTATAAAAACAATCAAATTATAAAACTCTAATATAAAACTAATACGTATTGTTATACGTATCAGTTAGTACTCCACAAAAGTTTGAATTTGAATCAAATATTTGGCCAAATTCTTAAAATATTTGATTTAAATTCAAATTTTGACTTGATTTTGCGGAGTACTAATATCAATTTTTTTGAATATGCGATAAACAGTTAATCAAAAAGAGATTAATTGAGAGAAATAAAATCGCTCAGAGAATCACGAGACATTCATATTATAATTCGGCATGATTTAAAAAACCATTTAGGCATCATTTTTTTTTTGTTAAATTGAAAATTAACTACTTTTAATTTTATTATTTTACCCTCTTTGCCTTTGTTTATACGTAGAGTATATGACACGCCATTGCCATAATACAATATAATTCCGTAACTCTATTATATGTCTACATTCTCAGTCTATTGTACATGTATTTATGATGATAATATACAAATTTGCAAATAATGTATGTACGTATGTGCGGTTTCATTGAGTATTAATGGAAATGCAAATTTATATACGTGAAAGTATCATCGACTCACGTGAGAAACAAAAATTTTCATATGAAAAGGCATTTATTGGTCAGATATAGTCGTGACGGATAAATGATCTCAAACAACTGATGCATAAATATCGCATGTTCCGGATGAAGATGGAATTGGATTTTTTGTTCTCGTTTGATTTATTTATTGCCTACTACTTTACGAAACGTTTGCCTTAGTTCAAGTTTAATAAGCTATAACATAATGGTGAACGCTGAGGCCTTGGAAAAATTTTATAAAACTGTTGAGCAGAATCAAGACGATTATGTTGAGAGGTTGAGAGAAGCGGTTGCCATTCCAAGGTAATATATATATGCGAATTATGTAAATAGCATTCAAAGAAAAAAATTAAAATAAAATAAATAAATAAATAATATAAAAAGTAATTTTGCGAACTACTCATTTGCATTAACTAAACGGAATGAACATTCTATAATTTAGTATAAGTTCGGACGTCGAACGTCGAGATGACGTTGTCCGTATGTCTCATTGGCTTACTTCCTTATTCGAGAAACTAGGAATTAAGTAAAGATAATTTCTTTTTCTATCATATATTTAATTAATTTACATTGAGAATTTCATGTAATAAGCTAAAAGCTTATTTTATTCTTTAGTTGGTGGTAGAATTTTCGTGTCCGATAATAAATTTAACTATTCAACATAACTTTTATGTGCCAGAAAATAGATCAACTCATGATTTAGTACCTCTTATTAAGTCATGCTATGATCAGGAGTCAATTCGTTATTTGGTATCAAAAAAAAGTTATGTTATATAGTTACAATTTTTATTGAGTACGAAAATTCCGTCGTTAATTAATGACAAAAATAAACTTTTGCTATATAATGTAATTTAACTGCCCGAATATATCATCGCATAATTATTCATCATGTAACACGATATGAATTAATAGATATGAAGCTCGTGACGTGGGCAGTCATATTATGGATAATGTAGAGTTGAAACTTCCACCTATTATTTTGGGTACTTATGGCAACGACCCTAATAAAAAAACCATTTTGGTCTACGGACATTATGATGTCCAGCCTGTGAGACTTTTAACCATCTTTAATATTCAATTGTCTTTTAATAAGTATTATTTGATTATTTGATGTTTATAAAATGTTGTAAAAGGCGTTACTTGAAGATGGCTGGAGCTCAAAACCTTTTGATATGATCGAGACTCCACAAGGTCAATTAATTGGCAGAGGTGCTAGCGACGATAAAGGACCTATCATTGGATGGCTTAATGCTATCGAAGCACATCAGAATGCAGAAATAGAATTTCCTGTTAATTTGAAGATCTGTTTTGAAGGTGATAAATACTTTGTCAACATTTTGGAGTAGATTGACTATAATATTGAATTCGTTTGATTGTAGGAATGGAAGAGAATGGTTCAGAAGGGCTTGACGAATTAATTTCCAAAGAGGCGGACAAATATTTTAAAGATGTGGATGCTGTATGCATCTCAGACAACTATTGGCTTGGTGTGACTAAGCCTTGTTTGACGTATGGGTTACGTGTAAGTTACATTCGTTTCGTTAAACCAGAATCGAAATCTATTTTAATATAATTTGGCATTAAACTTGTAAATATAATTTTGTCAATAGGGAATTTGTACTTACAAAGTCACTATATCCGGCCCAGGAAAAGATCTCCACTCGGGTGTCTTTGGTGGTACTGTCCATGAGCCTATGACTGATCTATTTCATTTGTTCAGTAAACTGGTTACTCCGCAAGGCAAAATTTTGATTACAGGAGTTAACGACGATGTTGCACCCCTCGATGGTAGTATTTTATGACGTTAATATAATACGACAGGATGAAACCTGAGTCACCAGCCAGTAAAATTCGCTATGTAGATCACATGAGGATTGAAATTCGCTTTTGTATAGTAAAAAAATAGCAAAGCTCAAACTCACATAGCGAATTTTACTAGCTGGTGACTCAGGTTTCACCCTGTTCTAATATTATTTAATACCAATTATTTAATATATTTCGTAAAACATCTAGATGCAGAGCTCCAGATATATAAATCGTTAGAATTTACGATGAGCGAATTTCACTCTGCTATTGGGTCGAAAACAAATATTCACGAAAGCGAAATAGAAATACTACAACATAGGTAAGTTTATTTTAAGAAATATAATTATGAATTGCTATGACGTAAACTTATCGCGAAATGTTTCTTACAGATGGCGCTACCCGTCACTTTCGATTCATGGTATTGAAGGTGCATTTTCTAGTTCCGGATTCAAAACTGTCTTACCTGCAAGAGTCATTGGAAAGTTCTCAATCAGAATTGTTCCAAATATGGATGCTAAACGTGTTGATCAACAGGTTGTAAAATATTTTAATGATGAATTTGCGAAACTGGGTAGTAAAAATACTCTTAATGTGGAGTGTTTACATAGTGCCAAAGCATGGATTGCAAACCCTAATCATTGGAATTATGGTATATTTTAATTGACAATCTACTTTTATCTATATATTGAATTTTATTTGTAAATATATTATGTATGTTAATTAATATTTGCTGAACGGATAGTTGCTGCTTCTAATGCTGTTGAAAGAGTTTTCAAATGCAAGCCTGATTTGACGCGTGAAGGTGGTTCTATTCCTGTTACTTTGACATTTCAAGATGCTTTGAAAAAGAATGTTTTATTACTCCCAATGGGTCGTGGTGATGACGTACGCATAAATTTATCATTCCAGCTTTGATTTATTGATAACTTTATTAATTTATGATATTTATTGTTTAGGGTGTACATTCAATCAATGAAAAACTTGACCGATCAAATTATATTCAAGGAATTAAGTTATTTGGTGCATATTTACATGAAATTGCTTCCTGTAAAGCTGAATAAATTAAAATCGTATTACTTGTTTTATACAATAGATATTAGGATATTGTGATCTTTTTTTTTGTATATGTTTATTTTTCATTTATATTTTAGTTTAGGTTCGATATGCATTTGGTAGTTTAATGATCTATGCTTGTCTGAAAGTACATGTACTTAAAATTGGTTGACTTATATTAACCATTGTAGTGATACCCAATTAAGTTTAGTAAAAATACCACGTGCTGGAAACTGAACGTGCCAATAATTTTGTGATAATTTATTATTTTATAATGAGAAGCTCAGGATTTCTCAAATCAATGAATTCATTCCTAATTTACAGCTTATATATAAATAAGGCCATACAAAATTAATTAATAACCCGGCCGGGTCAAATTTTAATAACCGGGCGGGTTTTTAAAAAAAAAACCGGTCTGTTCAAAAGTTTCATGTTATGAAAACCGGGATATTAAATTTGTTTAATTTATATGTTGCCATTACCGTTATATTTACCGTTAAGTTAATCAAAACAATGTAAACATGCAACATCACATGACTTCATGACGGCCAGATTGCCAATAAAAGTATTTAATCACATGGACTAGCGTCACTCTGATCATAAAAAACTTGATAGTATAAACGTTAAAGGTTGTGGCTGCAATAACTTTCACACATTTTTAAAACTCGAAAGTTTTTAACAAAACTCGTATTTTGGGATCGTGATAAAGGTGAAGATATGACAGAAGTTATTGAAAAACCATTTTATGATGTAAATTTGGGTTGCGGATATGGACTAAATAAGGTACTTGTTTGTGCTCTTAAAAAAAAAACGAAGTTTATCTAATCTTAGCTAACAATAGCAATAATAATCATAACAATAAATAACAATAATAATAACAATAATAATAACAATAATAATAATAGTAGTAATAATGATTCGATCATTATGAGAGTCTAAATCTCCTATGTAACTTTGTATTCGAATACTTCAGATAAATGATAGAAACGATAAAATCTTATGTCTTAAACGTTTCAATCAAGTAACTCTTGATAGTGTATGACCCTGTTAAGGCTAATTTCTTCTTTTTTTATTGAAAAGGTTCAACATTTAACGTTTAAAGAGATCTATTCTTCAAACGTCGCGGCTAAAGACAACAAATTAATTAAAGAAAAGTCTCTAATTTCCGAATCGTTTAAAGTTAGTGATGAATCGGTTGCATTTAAAATGGATGATAATATTGGTGAAAGAAGAGTCAACTATGACACCATTTTTAATGAATATCATGGAGTTTTTCCTACCAGATTAGGATTTTTCAAGCATAAACAAAAAATTGAAGAAATTCACACTCAACGTGTTGATTATACAATTAAACAAGGAAATGTCCTTATTAAACGTGATATAGACTCACAACTTCATGTTTCATTATCTGATGAAGGCGAAGTTTCAACAGATCAAGAAATCGGAGACATCGAGGAAGACCAAATCAAAGATGAAACTATTAGTTATCTGGAGCATAAAAAAATAGTTCAGTATGTCGAAGAACACAATAGAAAGTTTTTGGCAAAAACTATTGAAATGGATGGTATCTTAGACATGAACCGAGTCGGCAAGTTTTCGAGATCTAATTACAGCAAATCTTTTTCTACGTACGGCGCTTTTTCGAACGCAGGAAATTGTTTTAATGTAATGTTGGAACATATTACTGAAATATTACAGTTACCTCAGGCGTACCAACAAACGAAGTTTGGGAGAAGATCCTTATTGCAATTAGATCAATATATCAAAAATATTATTATTGAAAGAAATACCATTTCCGGGTATGTCTTCGACAAAATTTATTTGCGATTCCATCCTCATAATAATGCTTGGATAGGTAATCATGTTGCCTTGGAGCCATTCGAGGATGGTTTCGGCAAATGTATTGCAATACCATTTGATATGTTTTTCAATTCACATGTACATCCAGAATTTCAAATGCTCGTATGGAATACTAGTCGTCGGTATGGTAGTCGAAAAATTATACGCGATTGTGAAGAAGTTGAACTTTCTAGAAAACGAAAACCAAGCTTTGATGCCAGTCAGCTTTTTGAATCATTAGATCCTTTGGTTTTTAATGATTTTGATGCACACGCGTATTATGATTCTATCAAATATTTATATTGGGCAAGAACTCAAGAGCAATTTGATAAAGAGCTTAGGTTATTTAAAATAGCTAAACATCAAAAGGCTGGATGTTCGAATTATAATTCAGTTGAACATAGTTGGTGTATATCGAACTTGATTCAAGGTCTATCGGATAAATATGATATTGAACTGGATATCGAACAATTAATTGGTCGTAGTTTAGATTGTTATGATGATTTCTTAAAATCTTTGAATCAAATCTTACCATTAGAAGATAACACGCTAATCTATTATAGGTGTGACTCTTTTAATAGTTGCTTTAACCACTTGGATTTAGTACCTTTTGTCGGAAGTCAGTCAATAAGCGTCCTTTGCTTTGTTAGCTGGGGTGAAATACCGCACATCAGATCGATACAGTGGTCAGCCGCCAATGTGGACACATATTTACATTAACCAATCGACAATATGTATGCGGTTATTTGTAAGAATGTGTCCAAAAGTTTAAACATGCTCAATACATACGATCTGATATATTAACGTATGAAACCTTCCTCTTTTTTTTTTTTCCTGTTAAAATGCAAGACAAAAAAAAAAAAAAAAAAAAAAAAATTAAAGCTGCAATTGACTCTTCCGACGCTTGTTATTAACAATCTTTGTGTGAACAATAGAAGATTGCTTTATAAAACCATTGGAAACAAAAATAAAATATTTTAAGTCGCATTTTAGGAAGAAAAAAAAAAAAAAATCAGTAAAAAAATTGACCAGTAGGAATCAGTACGTTAAACAATATAAACCTCCAAAATCAACATTGTTTATTAGGAAATATTATGAATCATGCACCATATATATATATATGACATCTAAATATGTTTAGTTTTCAAAGTTTATCGATCTTTCTCTTATTTTCAAAAAATACGTAATTGTCATAATATATTAGTATACGTTGATACTAAATATAAATACGAAGCAGCGAGAACGGGTCAAAAACTTTATATGAAACTTTTTACGCGATTAAAAACCATGATAAGAATCTACAGTCGCATGGTGATTTGATCCTCAATTAGTCAATGAAAATCGCAATCTATCGTTATCATAATTATTATTTACCGGACTTAGCTAACTAATCTTCTAGGGATTGTGTTCGTTACCGTTACTTCTAAATTTATAAATTCGATGACGGTGGGAAAAAAATTTTTTTCTTCATTTTTAAAACATCGATGATTATGGTCCGAATATTAAATTTAGACCGCATATTCAAACCATAAACATCACATGTTTTAAAACGATGAAATATTATTTTTTTTCCACTCTAAAGGTAACCAGCTCTATTAATTTTCCCCAAGTTCTGAACGTCCTGATTGGACAAAATATATTACACACCTGAATTCCGAAAATATATTGTGTTAAGGTTAGTATATTAAGGTTACAGAAGACAAGGATTTTTTTTATTAAGACACAAAAGATGGTTTCGTACCGATAAGTAAAACTTCTGATTTAAATTTCTAGGTGGAGGATAACGTAATCTACTTTTTTCAATCAGCGATTTCCTAATCAGAACTGGAAGAAATTAGGGTTTCCGTACAACGATGGAATACTATAATGTTATTCATATTCGATAGAGCATTGGAGTTTACGGCATACTATGTAAATCAAAACAACTACTGTATTTGTGGTTATACGTATAATAAAATTCATTAATGAAGATTTTTTTTGATAGCGATCGATAGGATAATAATTTATAATAATTATTTGCCCCTAATGGTTCGATAGTTTTTCGCAAAGACAGTTATTACTTTCTACAAACAAAGCTATAGAGTCATTCTTTTTTATTATGCATAAAAAAAATTTTAATCTGCTGTTTTTTTTTTCTTAGAAAAAGGTGAGACTTAATTTGGTTCCTTTTTTAAAGAAGTGACACTATAGCTTTGTTTGTAAAGTCGTAATACTGGTCCTATTGAATCGTTAGGGCTGTGTATCTGTTTAAAACTTGAATAATTATTATTATAAACTTATTACCTATCGATCACTATCTAAAAAAAAATGTTTATATATACGTAAAATTGGATGCTGAATATTTTTTTCAAAGTTGGTTTTTATAAAATTTGTAACCATATTGTTAATTATACTAAATACCATATTTATAGGGTACAAATAAAATTTCTCATATATTATTTAAAAGATTGTACATGGGCAATAATTTGTTTATGAAACCACCTTTTGGCTTTTAACAAAAAATTTTATTTGCGCAATTGTATAAGCTATACCTCGCCCGGTTCCGGTTCATTTCACCGATTCACAGACAAGTTTTTTTTATAAATTACACTAACCTTAATTCTAATTCTAACCTGACCCTGACGACAATGACCAGAATTACTTTGTTAGTGAAATGACTGTCGGTGAATCATATTGTCGGTAAATTGATTGTCGGTGAACTAATTGTCGATGAAATGAACGGATCCCTAATCATAAGCAAGGATTTGATTTTTCGTTTGTAAAAATTCTTTTAATGCTGTTACACGAAGTTGTAATTCAATAAATTATACCCGTAATAAATTTTCTATTTAAAAATCTTTATTTAGTTAAATATTTATTACAGTATCATCGCGTAATAATTCCCATCTGCGTGTTATTTTGAGTACACGCATGTGCGTCATTTCGAAATTAAAAGTCAATTTCTGAGCTATAAGTACTATTGACAGATATAATATTTAAAATTAAACTACAATATATGCTTAGGACATAAGCTTATTGTTAGTAGATACGCGTTATTTTGGGACACGACTATACGCGAAAGATTACTATATGAAGTTACTTGCAATATATCTATCTATCTTCTAAAAGGTAATTAATTTTAACGATTTAGTTGATTTATAAATTTATAGAATTTATTTAAAAATTTTTTTATTGAATTTAACTGGGAATTTATTAAAGGAATCTTTATTCAAAATTAGTCGTAAATACTTTTTCAAAGTAATTGATTTTTTTAATATTTAAGAAGCATTTTTTTTAATAATTACAAAATCTAGTTCAAGTACACGTAGTTGTTAAATGAATTCTGTGAACCTATAAAATTCACTTTAAAATCTTTTCGAGATCGTAAGGCAATTATCAAGAAATTTGTGTTTAAGCTAAAAAATTTTTTTGAAGATTGATTGATTTTTAGCCACACATAACTATAACTTTTCATAAATAACTTATTCACCTACCTATATACATGTACATGTATATATGCATGTATGTAAAATATATCAACACTTATTAAATTTGCAATTATGTGACTATAAAAACATTCAGTAATTTGCTATGCCAATATATAACACATACAACAATTAAACTATTATTACATGTATATATAAATTACAAAAGTTCATTTAATATTCTTAATGGTAATTTTACCATATTATGAATAATAAAATAACAACCCATAAACTAATTATAATTTTATCCAAATTTATTAAGTTAATCGTTCTATTCCCAGAATTACGTCTTGCAGGTAATGATTCATTATGAGCAAAAGGACATGTATCGAAGAGAGATGGGCTTTGTGTCTTTGTCGAATTTAAGTATGGTTGACTAAATAATTGTTGAGGGTCATATTTTGATTTGATGTCTTGTAATCTTTTAAGATTATTGCCAAAATATAGTTGAATAAAATTTGGTAAATCTGGGTCGTCGTATCCCTGTATCGAAGCATACGTAATATTAATGATTAAGTATGAAAAGAGAAAATGAATTTTAGAGAATTTTTTAAAAAATTCACCTGATAACTTTGACCATTAGAAAATGGTCTAACATCAGTATCCCATTGACTTATCCATGCATTCGTTTTAGGATCATAAGTTGAAGGAGCTTGTATAAGAAGGTGATAGGCCACACCATTCCTATGAATAAATGCAGTAAGATTTGAAGATTGTGTTGAAAGTAATCCACCATAAGAAAGTAATTCAGCAAATGTTCCTGAAGGCATCTGTTTCAAAAGTCCAATAATCACATTGATAGCAGTATCATTTAAAGGACCACCAAAATATATTGATTTTGTTTTTACATTCTCTCTAGCTTGTAATGGGCCTGGAGGATATGCTGAAAGTACGCCTTGATTTACGTTGCCAGGAACAGTTGCAGCAGGTGGATAAGTTACATTTTGAATGGTATAAGCAAGACTGTTTGATGCATAAGGAGAAGTCCCAATATTAAAAAAATCGTATCTTTTACAAGTTTTCTGAGGATCCAAGAAGTAAGCACGTGCACCTAGATGATCACAGAGTAAAAGTAATTTCTTTTCAATTGTTTCTTGATCACAACCTTCAATTTGGGAACCATTATAGGATAATAAACCAGCATTCAACAATTTGTCATAAATCTGATCATTTTTACCCAAATAATGACCAACTATTTTAAAATTTGTATTAGTTACATAAAGAGTGGTTGAAAGTTCATTGGGAGCAAGGTGACCAAAGTTTGTGAATGCTTTTAATACAGATGCAAAAAGATTAGGATCATAAGGGTATTCAATGGTGAAAACAGAAACAATGTCCCAAGCAGGTATTAATTGTAATTTCCATTGAGTAATAATTCCATAAGTTGCACCACCACCTCTTATCGCCCAAAATAAATCGGCATTTATAATACTATTTGCAGTTAAACTATTTCCATCAGCCGTAATAACTTGAGCCTCAAGTACCAAATCACCAGTAACACCATATTTTCGAGATTGTAAACCAAAACCTCCAGCAGCGATAATTCCTGATAAACCGGTTGTTGGACATATTCCTGATATAAAAGTAAAGTTCTTTTGAGCAAGTTGGATATATAATGGACCAAGTCTGATTCCACCACCAACTATTGCAGTTTGCGATACAGTGTCAATATTCACAAAATTTATATTACTAATATCGATAACCAAAGAGTCATTTAATGAAGAAGAGCCAGAATTACTAATTTAATATAAACAGATATATATGTATCGTTATTTGTTAATAAGGAAGATATTGATATATTTTTATTTATATAGCAGTTACTCACCTATGACCACCGTTTCTCGGACATGGTGTGATCTTAAATGTATTTGAGCAAAGCACTAATTGTTGAACTTGAATTGTATTATTCGGATAAGTTATCATCCTTGGATATTGTTGAAACCTATTAAATAAATTAAATAATCAAATAAATGATAGTTTATAGTCGAGTTTTGAATGAAATTATTGAAATTTGAAAATTAAACAAATTTAAGAGAATTTGCGTTGCTATTAGATTTGATATAATTTCTACAACAAAGTAATAATAATAATAATAATAATTTCAGCTATCAATAAAGTAGTAATTTACCTAACTCTCTCGCCAACCCTTGCATCATTATAACCAGGGTCATTCTTTGATATAACCAAAACACCGGTTGCCGCAACACAATCTTCTATTGATTTATAAGAGTTAGGATTAAAATCAGCCCATGACAC